AATTTCACAAGCGCGAAACTCTATTTTGGCTGCAGTTGACGGCGATCATTTACCATCTTCGTTGCTTATTTTGCTTCTTTTTTTTTCATTTAAAATATTAATTTGAGACTATAAAAGTTAAGTTAAGTAAACAAGTCGTAGTAACGATTATATAAATCTACGAGTTATCTGATAATTTAAACGCTCCATAACGAACGAGTGTAAGTTTCGATATCTACCCTCCCTTTCGTTTGTCTCTTTATATTCTACCATCATCAATAATGTTTCTTTTATTTTCTATAACATATATAATATGTAATATTCTATAACATATATAATATGTAATATTTATGTTATATTTTTTTACCCTAAGTCATAACAAAACAAAAATCAACACGAGGGATTAGACAAGTAATAATAAACTTCTGATGTATATAGTGATATAATTGTAATAATAAACACTTTTTTACAATCAAAGAGAAAACAAAACCAACCCAAAAACAAATATAAGGAATCTAAAATCTCCTGCTGTTGACATTACATCACGTTACATTAGTTCATTTCTTATCAAAAAAAAATGCAGTTTTTAAGTATAGTAACTCTGAATACATTTGCCTTGTTTTTATTGGCTCGCAAAAATTTTTGCTAGCAAGATTTTCAGTAATCACAGAAGTTAGTTCAGTCTTTAATATCGTCATAATGTTATAAATCCACGGCTCATAATACAACAGGATGTTTAGGCGCCATGTTGCTTGTAGCGCAACGGTACGTAGTCGTCATACTGTGCCTGAAAGAAGTTGCCAGCGACTGGGTTGCCAAGGTTGTATTTTTCCGAAAATTTGGCAATCGAAAAAGTAGCACGCCCGTCTCTGGAGCTGTAATCAATAATTTATAATTAACAAATTCAAATATTTTGCATGGCCCATTATTTTAAGTGTCTGGGTAATAAGTTGGCCTTAAATTTAGATCCCCGTCGACCGTGATGCAATTGTTTATTGTAACGTTAACAAGGTTACAAAGTACAACAACAACGTTGCCGTCCTGATTTATGCTGCGATTGGCAGCACAGCACAACAAAGTCTCAAGGACATGACAATAAAGAAAAATCCACCAATATAGAGTATTCTCTATCTTCTGTATATTGGCATGTCTTTTCCTTGCTCCGAAACTTTTTATTATTCTAAGAAATGAGTCCTTTACTAATTTGGAGTAATAATGCCCTCCAGACCGAATTTCGGCCACGGAGGCCTGCCTCAGCGGAGGATAGCCATCGACACAGGACAGGATTATAGTGCCCAAGTGTATGCGCAAGCACGGGTGCACTCTCTATTCCCTAACTCTCATAATCCGATGGGACGGTAAACCAACACGACCGGAGAGAGATCAGGCGCAGGACCAACGGCTTTACGTGCTTTCCGAGGCACGGGGGTGAGACACTACCAACTTCCTGACTCCGGGCAACTACTGAGAATTTTTTGACGGAAAAACTCAATACTTAGTTTTTTTTTGGCCCGACCCGGGATTCGAACCCAGGACGTCATCATCGGCAGTCGTACTACTACAACCACTAGACCAACGAGGCAGTCAATTAATTCGAAGTATCGATGTGGGAAAGACACAAGAGACAATATCCATCTTGTGGCTGTCATAAAAGTTGAGAAATGCCAAATCAACGGCACCAAACTGTTTAAAGCGGGCTACATACGACACGATATCGGTGGCGATCTAGGGTGGAGTAGTGGGGATGCCTCCTAGATTGCCTCTAAATCGTGTCGTATGTAGGGCCATCCTAAGTCGTGGCCGATATCGCCTCCTTAATCGGCTGGCAGGAGCAAAAATGCTTCCTAGATCAGCCGATGCTTCCTAGATCGGGGCACCGCCCCCTCCTTACTGCGTGTGTGTAGGCGCATCGGCCCGATTTCTTTTGGCAGTCGCTGCCGGCAACCCTCGCGGAAGGAAGTTAACAAAACAGTGATACTGAATGACCTTTTTTATATAACAAAATTTTTACATTTTAATCATATAAACGGAGTAGAAGCCTATGGCACTGATATTTTACAAAAAACCAAAAAAAGTGAATAAAATAAATAAATTAATTGAAATTTTATCGAAATTCAAATCATATCCACCCTAGCCTGTGACCCTGCGAAGTGACATGGTCAAGAATGCCTACTAAACTAATTTTTTTTATTGCCGTTCGTAAAGTAGAGTGTATGATGTAAGTAAGGAGAAGATAAAGCCTCTCCTCAACAACTAACTCCTATTCCAACGCTATCAACACAAGACCGCACTCATATCTCTTACAACCCCACAAGACCACACTTCGATCTCTTACGTGCCTTCATCCTCTTATCAACAACTAACTTCTACTCCTTCACCATCTCCACATCAACAAACAAGTTATATAAAAGGGAGTATGTCCGAAATTAAAGGTTTCTTTATGTTTAAAAAAGATATAAGCTATTTTATTTTCTGATAATTTTACTCCATAAATAAAGATTACATTAAAAAAAAAGTATACATATTATTATACAAAAGTATTTTATTTCCTTGTTTGTTGTGTGTAATACATAACCAGATTTTGACCAAAGCAGAAATGAACAAAGAGAAGAAATAACTAAATAGCATAGGTAGGAGAAATTGACGTTTTTATATAAGTGGCGAAATCATTTCTAGAAGGTTATAAAAACTGTCTTCATCCATCCGGAGAAAATTAATCACGTCCTTGGATTATATGCCATTTAGTACGTTTATGTGGCTTAATTTTTATCTCTTTTGGAGCCATTTTTTCACGCAGCAACTTCTCTTTTTTCTATTTTCGAATAAATTAACCGAGATGGCTAATGCCAAACCAACACGGTGGTGTTTTAAGAGAGTCGGAGGTATTTTGAAGAACTCTACCGCATATGCATTCCGCTCCAAGTCCGAACGCGTACTGCTAGGCAGGCCCGTGTGTAAGGTCTACCCCGATAAAAACCCCGATTTCTTTCCACCCTAGATCGCCACCGATATCGTGTCGTATGTAGCCCGTTTAAGCATGGCGATAATTTTTTTATAATTCTCCTCTACTAACTGAGAAATCCAAATCAGTGTGTTATGTAACGAACTTGTGTTAATTTATTAGGACTCATTTACACCGTACAAGTTTCTTGACTGTTGCATACAATAAAGATTCTTGCTCGGAGAGGCTAGTTAAGTACCAAACTATAAGTAGTGTAAACAGCACTGAATAAAACTCACTTATTTTATATTAATTATTATTATTATAATAACATTCAGTATTAAATAAAAATTTGCAATACTTTACTTGCAATACTTACACAAAACCTGAATATAGTACAATTATGTATGTAAGTGATAACAAAAATGGTAAGATTGTTTAAATTTGTAATAAGAGTGACAAATTATCTCACGGTTCACATGATGGGAAATAGATAATGTGGTCCATAGACATCTTCATCTATCCTTAACTAAGAATGAAAATATAGATGCGTTATTATCCCTGATAGAAAAGATGGAATGCCTCATCAGTAAAAACAGTCTCCGGTTCTCTACACTCGCCACACGAAACACAGCAGTATTAAGCTGTTATTTTACGGTGGTATTTTGTGAGGGCGTAGTTCTCTCCGGCCGAGGCGACCTTTTCGTGCTACAACCATAACCAAGTGCAGCGTGACTCTGCCACACATAAAATTAACTTGAAAGTTATTCTCTATTCAAAAATGTTTGTAGAGGAAACAAATAGATGTTGAAAAAATCACTAATCGAAACTGATGTATACAATAGTAGCCACAGAAATCGTAATAATAAGACAATAGAAGTCGCATATACGCGTGACTTTGTCGCCGCTTATATGGGTTGACTAACATAATTCATCATTTTGTGATTTAGTTGTGCGGGGAACGTCGTATGTGAATTTTTGTTATTATAAATTTATAATGGTGTACTGCAGCATAATCAGTTGTAAAAACTCATCAAGAACGTGTAATTAAACTAATAAAGGCATAACATTTCATCAGTAAGTTGATTATTTACTAATTATCTTTGTTTTGACTAATTTACATCTAGTTGAATACTTTACTATGACATTTACTTTTGCAAACTCATTTATTAATTTTGGTATTATACAATTAGCATTGCTGCTTTTGTTCTACCGTAATACGCGACGCACGCGACGTTGACAAACTCGCCAAGCAATGTAATGTGAAACATTAGATATCATTGTGCATTGCGTATGTTTATAATACGGCTGTAGGTGGCGACATCGGTTTTGGAAGTAATCGAACGCTAATTAAATTCTATTGTCTTATTATTACGCTTTTTGTGATAGTAGCATAAAAAATAATCATCCAATATTATCTTCATGCAAACAGTTACTTTCAATTCTTGAATTATACTATTGCATGCAAATAACTGCATTTTAATTACTGTCATACATCATACATTGTAGTTACAGTTTTGATACCAGCAACTGGAACAGTGTAAATCGGTCATTAGAATCGATCAGATGTCTTTTTATATTAATACGTAATTTAACTCGCAAACTATTATGCAATTGCTGAGTGATTTACATCGGCAAACGATTCCGAATAGAGCTACACAATCGCACTGCTGATGTCACAATGGTTCGACATGTGCGAGTAATTAAAGAAGTAAAAACATTGCTTTCGACTTGAACACCATTTGCTGCATTATTTTTCTGCATAAGAGCTTTTAAAGGCAGTTCCACACTTGCCCTTTTTGTCAATAATGAGTCAGTGCCTGACCACTACCCCCTGATGGTACATTGAAGACCAAAAAATACCCTTGAAGACGTCCACATTACAAGTTTTTCCACTCCATTACTACACACATTATCAACAACGAAGCAAAAAGTTTAGTTCAAATGCGTGGTATGCGAACAACAAAGAGGCGAAGTCTTTCCAAGCGTCAGCTTGTGCGATGATGAAAGGCACACTCTATTCCTACCGTTTAGTATAGAACGTCCCTCGTTTAAGGGTAGCCTAGCTTGCTTTTATTGCTTTTATTGTTATGGGGAGTATCACCCCCATATATTTCCTCATAGGGGACATATTTTTTTACAGATAGCCACACAGTTTTTATTATTTTGAGATAGTTATCAGGAATATTCTCATATTAGAGTTGCAGTGTTAAGTTGCAGCGACAGCTTACCATCAGGTATCCTTTGAGGCTGATCAAACAAAAACTCGGGCGGGGGGTTAGTCTACTCCTAACTTTTTGATATTATAAATAGGACTAGATTAACACCTATACTGCTCTCCTGTCCGGTATTTCCCTAGCTACTCGTGGGAACAAAATGGATGAAAACCGACATTTTGTAAAAGACAGTGAGAAGTCTCCTTTAATGGAATTAGCTGCAGGTTTGGAAGAGGTTCTTTTAGCCTCACCAACACCCTGCAACAGTGCGCCCCAACCTGGGACGAGCCGTGAAGTGAAGGGCACGTTTGCAGCCGAACCACAATCGGAAACGAAGCAGGGAGGGGAAAAGAAAAAGTTCGCTAGGCCTTATAAGCTTAGTGGGGCTGCGAGGAAAAGGTACCGAAGGCTGATAGCAGCTGAGATTGGAGCCGAAGAGGCCCTCTCTCTCTGCCAGAAGCCTTGGGACGAAATTCCTCTGCCCAAGCCTTCCCCAGTTCCGAAAGCGAAAAACGCAGTCGGTCTGAGGAAGAGTCCCCCAAAGACCAGCCCAGGAAGACTGTGAAGCTGGCAACGGAGGAGAAGAAGCTCAGCTTCAGTGCCGTAGCTGGCTCCGCGCGTATAGGAATTCGCAATTCGAATCCTATGAGTGTGGAGCAGATGCAGCTGGTCCACCGGGCACTAACACAGGCCATCGCTAAGACGGCCTGTGGGTCGCAACCGGGAATGGGCCCAAAATTTTCCGGTTTCACACACAAGCCAGGTTGGATTCTGGTAACGTGCCTGAATAAGGCAAGCCAGGACTGGATTGTGGGTGAAATCGGAAAACTAAAGCCCAGGGCGAACTGCCTAAGCCTACGCTGGGCATTACCTACTTGCCCCGCAGCGAAGCCGACTCTCCAGAGGAGGCGGCTGTGCTGTTGAGGGCACAAAATGAAGGGCTCCATACATGCCCTTTGGAGAATCCTCCACCGTAGGGACGAGGAGAATGGGTTCTTAGTAACCTTTTCTCTGGACGACCCATTGGCGGAGGCTCTTCGGAAGGCAGGCGGCAGAGTCATCCTTGGCTTTAAGATGATAACTTTTAAAGTCAGGGGAGGCTCTGACGCGGCAATGGAGCCCGAACCGCCCCAACCCCAACCCCAATCCCCTCAGCCCTCCACTTCTCGGGGTGAGGCTGGAACGCCACCGGTGAGTGACGAAGACCCAAGGCGCAGATTTCGCCTCGGTCCGACGGCCTCCGCTGGTGTCGTCCAGGCCGGGGGGGGGGGGAGGTGGGAGCGGTTCGAAGAAAGATAAGGCGAGGGTGAAGTTCGCAGGAAAAGGACTTCCTCGTCCTCAACAGGCGGAAAAGACCCCTACCCCCACGCCCATAAATGGCTAAACCCAAGGGTAAGACGAGGGTCCTCCAAGCAAATCTTCACCATGCAGCAGCTGCTTCTGCCGTGGTGGAGGTTTGCTTTGCAGAGGACAACATTGACCTCGCCCTTATACAAGAGTCTTGGGTGGCCAGCGGTCAAGTTCTGGGATTGGCGGCTACCGGTAAGATTCTTGTCAATACCAAAGGCAGTAGACCCAGAACTTGTATAATTTATAATAAAAAAATTGAACTTTTAGCTGTTCCAGAGTACTGCAATGAGGACCTGGTTACAGCCTTCATAAATCTCAAGGGATGCACAGGGGCCAGAGCAATCATTTGCTCAGCCTATCTTCCTGGCGAGAACGCAGATCCTACCATCGAGTTAGAGCGAGTGGCGGAGTTCGCCCGAAAAAACAACGCCGAAATTGTGGTGGGTTGTGATGCTAATGCTCACCACACAGCCTGGGGAAGCACCAACATCAACGAAAGAGGTGAGTTACTTTATGATTTTTTTTATCTCCAACCGCCTGGTAAGCCTAAACTTAGGTTGTACACCAACCTTTGTAACGCGTGCAAGGCAAGAAGTGTTAGACATAACCTTTGCTACCAATAACATGTCCAGACGGATAAATGACTGGCATGTTAGTAGCGAAAACTCGATGTCTGATCACAAGCACATAAAGTTTGTGATTGGAGCATCACCATCCTTTGAAAACGTTACTTTTAGGGATCCGAAAGCGACCTCCTGGGCTATCTATAGAGATAGCCTAAGGAGGAATTTGGAAACGTTTCCTAAAAGCATCAAAACAATTGAAGGTCTAGAGTTAGCGACGGAGACAGTAACCGTAGGTATCCGTGAAGCCTTCGAGGACAGTTGTCCCGTCAAAACCAAGACCTCAACACGAAAAGTTTCTTGGTGGAGACTAGGGCTAAGAAAACCAAAGAGTGGGATATTTATAGTGTAGCCCTAACTGAATATAATAAAGAAATTAGGAAAGCCAATAGAGCATTGTGGAGGAAGCTATGCGAGGAAGTTGAGTCTTTGCCTTGCAGTGCAAGACTACACAAGATGCTATTGAAAGCTAAACCTAATCAGATCGGGCTTCTTAAAAAGCCGGATGGTAACTTCACTAATAGTGAAACGGAAACATTGGAGTTACTAGCGTCAACCCATTTCGCAGGGTCATACAAGACTTCAGCCTTGAACTCTTTCAGAGCCCTACGAAGGCCTTGCAATGAGGACTGGCGTAGGGCTGCAAAGATAATAAGGCCAAACCTGGTGCAGTGGGCTGTTGACTCCTTTGAACCATTTAAATCAAGCGGGAAGGATGGAATAATTCCCATCCACCTACAGAAGGGTATCGACATCCTTCTTCCTTATCTGGTGAAATTCTTCAGAGCAAGTTTTGCATGGGGATATATTACAGAACGATGGACAATTGTCAAGGTTCTATTTATACCTAAGGCTGGTAGAAAGGACTACGCTTTACCAAAGTCCTTTAGACCTATAAGTCTATCTTCCTTTCTTCTTAAGACATTGGAAAATGTTATAGATAGATATATAAGGGATGTAGCTCTAGCTACGAGGCCCATACATTACAACCAGCATGCTTACCACAGAGGCAAATCTACGGAAACAGCCCTGATCAGTGTCATTGATAGGGTCGAAAAAGCACTGGAGGATAAAGAAATAGCTCTTTGTGCCTTTCTAGATATTGAGGGCGCCTTAGACAGTACCCCCAAATCACTGCTGATTGGGGGCCTAACATATAAAAATGTTGACCCCACAACCATCAGATGGGTGAATTCGATGCTCTCAAACAGAAAGGCAAAAATAGCGCTGTTTCAAACTTCGATTGAGGTTGCAACCACAAGAGACTGCCCACAAGGAGGTGTTTTGTTACCCCTTCTTTGGACTCTTGCGGTTGACCAACTATTGTACAAAATGGCAGACCTACGCATTGACACATTGGGTTATGCTGATGACCTTGTGATCATTGCAAGGGGCTTTTGCCAAAGTACTTTATCGTCAATAATACAAAGAGCCCTAAACACTATAAATAACTGGTGTAGGGTTAACAGTTTATCAGTTAATTTTGATAAAACTGTTATAATACCCTTTACCAAAAAGAGACGATTGGACAAATTAGTCCAACCAAAACTTAATGGCAAAGAAGTACCATTTTCCACGGAAGTTAAGTACTTGGGCGTAACAATCGACCAAAACTAACTGGAACTCTCACCTTAGCAACGTATGCCATAAGGCAAAAATTGCTGGTCGGGAACAACTGGGGCTTGCGTCCCAGTATGGTCCTATGGCTGTACAGCAGCATAGTGAGGCCGATTCTCACCTACGCCTCTATTGTCTGGTGTAACAATGCCAACCAAAAGACGACTGCGGACAGACTAAACAGTCTACAAAGGACTGCCTGCCTAATGGCAACTGGAGCTATGCGATCATCGCCTGGAGCGGCTCTTAATGCACTTCTATGCCTAACGCCCCTTGATATCTATCTAGACAAGGAGGCGATGGCTAGTTTGTATAGATTTAACGCCCAGGGCGGTCTGAGCTTGCTCTCCTACAGATTGAGATCCATGCTCGACTCAATTAAGGAATCACCGGTCTTATGCATGATCTCAGATATCATGCGTCGACTATACACTTTTTATAAAAAGTATATAGTCGAATTACCCTCCAGAGAAGACTGGCATAATGGCCAGGTTATCTGTGAGGTCGGTTGCCTCACTTGGTATACCGATGGGTCAAAAATGGGCCTCGACGTAGGTTTTGGAATTTACGGGGAATGCCCCAAATTCAAACTTAGTATGAATTTGGGTAGTGTATCTATCTTCCAGACAGAAACTTTCGCCATACTTCGGTGTGCGCAAATCAATCTGCAAAAACACTACGTCAACCATAAAATTTACATAAACTCTGGTAGTCAAGCAGCACTGCTAGCGCTGAGATCAAACTTAGTGAAGTCAAAGCTAGTTGGAGACTGCGTGAACCGTTTAAACGCCCTGAGTTGTTACAACAGGGTCGTTTTAAGATAGGTTCCGGGTCACGAGGGTATTGTAGGTAACGAATTTGCCAACAAACTTGCACGGGAGGGCTCAAAGTGTACACAAACAGTCGCAGTGATACTGGTCTCTTTACCTAGACCTGCATAGCTGCTCGCACATAATAAAAAAAAACTCGCTGACATAGTCGTTTTTGCAAATTAGTTTTAAATCAAACTTCTCACATGTTAGTCAGGCGCTTCTCGTCAAATTCAATCTTGTCCGGCTGCTTGTAGACAAGGAAGACGTATCGGTGTAAGCCGGTGCCCAGCGGTGGTCCGGCGCCCACGTATGCGGATAGAACGTCGCCCTTGGAGACATCCGATCCAGGCACGTTACCCACCAGCCAGTGCTGATATTCGCGGTACTTTGGCTCCTTACGGGACGGCGCATCGGGATCTAGAAGCAGAGAGATGACGGTGCGTGAAATAAAATGGAATGAAATATATTTCTGCGATGTAAGAAATTCCTTCGTCAAATGTCTTTTTTTTAATCTAATACCGTTTTCAAATAGGGTTTCTCTGACCAGAGAAGAAACAGCGAAAGAAACTGCGCAGGTACCCTCTTTTTACTACGTGATAGTGATACATTTTTAACCCTGTTAAAAGTTAGAGCCTTACGTCCCACAGCTAGGCACAAGACACCTTTCATTTAGGAGAAAAATTTTAGGCCGCGGAAGTGTCCCAGGCTCTACCCCAATACGTGTTGGAGGGCTCCACTAGTTTTTGAAATACTATTTTATAGCTAAGTCAGACAGGTTTTCTAAAGTTTTCCTTCATCGCCTAGCACGTAGTAAATCAGCGCTTAAATTGATATTAATAATTTCATTTGTGCCCACAGGAATTGAACCCGGACTGCTCGTGTACTGAGTTGTATGAATCGTCTCTAATGGGCCACAAAAGAAAGTGAAAATGCTGGACTCGATATGTGATGCTATTTAACAAATTCATTACCGTGCGATGCGCCTACGTGTACACGACATAAGCAGTGCGGGCATAATACGTGAAGCATGCGACGACAGAAATATGTATACACTAGACTGGAGTTGTCTCACGAATAGAGTCACACACATGGTCACGCAACACACAATTCCTGAGGTGAAATAGACTAGAGCCGATGCAGATGCAAAAGATGCAAAACCTTTGTTAGCATCATAAACTGAACGGAGTAAAAGTCTAAAGTCATAACTAAAAAAATCAATCACATTACAATTCTTTTAAATTAATTATTTTCTCAATAATTATTACAAAAGCGCGCACTTTTTGCTTTACATGTAGTTTTAAAGTAATGAAAAAAAAAAGTTAAAAAGTTAAAATTCACAGCCTATATAGGTAGGCAGCTTCACACAGCTGGACACAGGCCTCCTCTTATATCTGAGAGGGTTTTAGGGCAAAGAAGTGTCCGCCACGCTGTCCCAATGCGTGTTGGCAAACTACACGTGTCTTCGAAATATACTTTTCTTATTTCTCAGACAGCAGGTTTCCTCAGACTCCTTCACCGCAGTACACGTGGTAAATCCGCATTTAAAATTGTAAGTAATTATTCTATCCATCCTGTATAAAGATAAAATTGAGAATAAGAAAAACATGGAGAAAGTTACTGCTACACATACCAGTCATAGCGACGGTGTAGAAGGCATTCTGCTCCGCGTCCCACGACACAGTGGGCTGGTCCTTCACTTGTGTTGGAGTGAGCTCATTGCCTTCCTTCACTTCAACTCCGCTTGGATAGGTCACCTGAAATATAAACCAATAGTTTAGTAACACCACTTTACATTATCTACTTCATATCCTTTTTTATAGAATAAGGGTGACAAACGGCACACAGTCCACCTGATGGTAAGTGGATGTTGTGATGATGAAACCCATAATTCTCTAGTATATATTCAGTAATCTATGCCCATAACAATACACACGCATGTTCGTATAGCGTTTAACAATACACACGCGTGTTCGTATAGCGTTTAACAATACACACGCGTGTTCGTATAGCGTTTAACAATACACACGCGTGTTCGTATAGCGTTTAACAATACACACGCGTGTTCGAGCGTGTACACACGCGTGTTCGTATAGCGTTTAACAATACACACGCGTGTTCGTATAGCGTTTAACAATACACACGCGTGTTCGTATAGCGTTTAACAGTATACACGCGTGTTCGTATAGCGTTTAACAATACACACGCGTGTTCGTATAGCGTTTAACAATACACACGCGTGTTCGTATAGCGTTTAACAATACACACGCGTGTTCGTATAGCGTTTAACGCTACCACAGAAAATCGTCATGTGCAAACGCCCTTGCCCAATTATTTGTTACGAGTTGTTCCGATACTAGTAAGTACATCAACTACAATAATATGTCCTGCGATGTGAAATCATAAAATTGCTTCATTCATCAAAAAATTAAATTGCTGTCAAATAAGTGTTATCCATATAATTTAGTATCACTGGCTTTACATACAATGCCATGGCCGTGATGGGATAATTGGCCATATTTTATTATAATTCATCAATATCAACTATTATTAGCTTTAATGTTAAATAGGTATGATCTATTGTTCCGGTTTATCACAGTAACTACTTTCGAATGCTAATAGGACAAAATATGTGCTGATTCTTAATAATCTCAATTTGGCTTAATGGCTGTGTGGCTAGATTACCCATACAGTATTCCAAATGGCTATTTTGATGAAAGGATGGCAAAAAATGGCCACTCCAAAAGGGCGCTTGCCTATGAAGCGACAATGGTGAGATGAGAGGGAATTGTGTCTGTATTAAGCTGCTTTGCTCATCCTTTGCTGGTTGGTGTCACAGACTAAATCACGTCCCGGGTCCGGAAATGCTGATACTCTCGAGTACAGTTTTCTCGTTAGATAAAATATCATAACATCCTAACGTTTAATTTTATTTTTATTTAAGCAGTACTTAATATAATAAATATAGACTAAAATCCGTTCCCACACATATAACAAAGCTGAGTTTTATCACTGTCATTTGAAGGTTATCGTAAAGCCATTCAATGTAGTCAAAAGTATACTTTATTCTTGTTTAAAAGTTCACAACTAGTTTTTGCATTCTTGCATACCAGAATTTCTAACGTCGAAAATACTTATTTATCGTATAACATCGCATCCCGCGTTTTTATCACACTCGCCTTTGGCTCGTGTGACAATACCATTCGCGTTACTATATCATACTTTCCTCCCTGTGGCGTAATATACAATTTTTTATAGAATAAGTGTGACAAACGAGCACATAGTCCACCTGATTATAAGTGGATGCATTGGCCCATAGAAGTCTATACTCGATTAACAATCTAAATGCAGATGTGTTGTCACACCTGAGGACTTAGATGGAACGCCTCGTTTCCAGTAAAGAGTCTCCGATTCTCTACACTCACTATACAAAACACAGCAGCATTGAACAGTTATTTCACGCTGGTATTCATTGACAGCGTGGTCCTTCCCTGGTCGAGCCAAACCAGCCTGAATCTACTACCTATAAATAATAGCATAGAAATGTCGTTGCGACGGTTTTTTCGACAGTCCGTACTACCATCGCTATGTGAGTGAGGACCATAAGGCCGTAGGTGTGAAGATAAAAAAAACAATCATTACGTAATCTGGCGTGAATACACAGAAGCACAAAACTTGTTTAGTTAGTGTGTCGATTGTGAAAGCAGATGCCTCAAGATAACTTCTTTACAAGGTGAGACGTGCTTACAATATAATCTATCTATATAAAACAAATAAAGAGCCGTGGTAGCTTAGATGGTTAGCGCCCGCTGTAAATTTCACAGTACGCGAGCAAACCGGGTTCGATTCCCGCCGGCACCTATGAAATTGTTAATTGCAATTTTAAGTGCTGATTTACCACGTGCTCGGCGGTGAAGGACAACATCGTGAAGAAACCTGCATGTCAGAGAAATAAGAAAAAAAATATTTAGAAGACACGTGAAGTTCGCCAACAGGCATTAAGGCAGCGTGGCGGACAATTCCTTGCCCTAAAACCCTCTCAGAAATGAGCGGAGGCCTCTGCCCAGCAGTGGGACGTATATAGGCTGTAACTTTATTTTTTTACTTTTTATAAAACACAAAAAGTGTTTCTACCTACATCAGATACATACTTTGAAACAATACAACCGATTTTGATAATTTTTTTCTGTGTGAGTTTAAATGGATCCCTAGATGGTTTATATTTACATACACTTAGACTCGGTAAGTGGCGCTTTTGTTGAGATCCAGAAATTTATCCCGTACGAAGCCGGGGCGGATCGCTCAGAATCGCATAGAATTAACCTTAAATATTACGTGGTAGAGTCATGCTGCACTTACATTAGTAGTATAGTTGTAGCACGAATGGGTCGGCTCGACCGGGGAAGGACCACACTCTCACAGAATTCCAGCGTAAAATAGTAGCTTGATGCTGCTTTGTTTCGTATGGTGAGTGTAGAGAACCGGAGACCCTTTTTACTGGAAGGCATTCCATCTGTGTCCTCACGGGTGACAACGCATCTGCGTTTTGATTTTTAATTGAAGACAGACGCTACGCAAACCGATTGAACATGGTCGAAGTTACGAATCGGCGTTACATGGAAAAACTTTTGCAAGTTTATTTGTACTGTCGGATGTTATTTAATAACTATATTTTGTATAAAATAAATAAATAAAATAAAAAAGTGTCTATGGGTCTCAGCATCCATTTTCAACCAGGTGGATTGTAAGCTGGTTTGTCACCCTATTTCTAAATATAAAGATGCGGAAATGCATAGTTACAAAGGATTAAGTAAAGTAAAGTAAAGTTACAGCCTATATACGTCCCACTGCTGGGCTCAGGCCTCCCCCTCATTTCTGAGAGGGTTTAGGGCAAGGAAGTGTCCGCCGCGCTGCCCAAATGCGTGTTGACGAACTTCACATTCAAAATAATTTTTTTTTCTTATTCCTCAGACATGCAGGTTTCCTCACGATGTTTTCCTTCACCGCCGAGCACGTGGTAAATCAGCACTTAAAATTGCAATTAACAATTTCATTGGTGCCGGCGGGGATCGAACCCGGGTTACTCGCGTTCTGTTATATTTACAGCGAGCGTTAACCACTGAGCTACCACGGCTCTAGGATGGGATTATTAATTCGTTAATAGGTCTCAGAAATGTGTGGAGGCCTATATGTCTAGCAATGGGTCATATTATGTTGGCTATACCATCATCATTATAGCTCATCGCAAGTATAACCTTGTAGTGCCGGTGTAAGAATATGCACTACCCAACATCTCCTGACAGAGGAAAATAAGCCAGGAGATATGCAGCAACGTCTTCTTAATAATAACTTCAAATAAAAACTGCAGTTACCAACACGCCTCCCAAGCGTGGCAAATATGGCAAATATCCCCCCATGAGGTACATTCTTATTCAATATATATGGAAGGTTTATGTTCAGCAGTGGACTTTTGATAGGACGTAACGGTTCAGCCCATCGCAAGTCCACTGTTGAAATAAGTCCTCTCCGAAAAATGCCACAAAGCACCCAAGTAAGTATGCAAAGCATAGGCTGATTTGCTTTACTTTTATTTATGGCTCAGTGGTCAATGGAGACATCTTGAGTCTATCTCAGCTACATACTAATGGATAATGTGTAGCGGGTGAAATTTCGATTTTTTTTTTTTTGTATTTTAGTCAACGACACAATTTGTAATCGACTTCGATTAGCGCTCCTTAATGAAACCCCTTCCTTTGCCAGTGTTTACAACTTGTTCAATGACTTTAAACGTGGTATAAACTAATTACGATCTGTATGAAATCCTTAAATGACAATAAAATTGCATGCTAGAGGCTTATAATAGAGTAACGTAAAGTAAATATGAGAATAAGTTGACATTTAGGCATTGGTTTATAATGCTGTATACTCGTTTGGTTCGACCGTTAGCCAACATTTTGCACCATGCCTGTTAATATACATAGGTAGTAAGTAAGTAGTACTTATGTTGATATATTTTTTCTTGTTGTAAAATAAATTCGTATTGTATATACAAAATCATGAGAAAGTAACAGAACTCTTCAAAGTATTGAATATTGAAGTTGACATTAATTCTAATCTTCTTCGGGTCTTATTGAAGTTACACCGAGCGCGAAGTATGAGACGAGTGTCTAGATATTTTTTTTTCATTCATTACAGTAGGGATTCTCCTATCCTTACTGAATTTTGGCATCTGCGCAAGAGATGACAATAGCGTATGCGTAAAAACAGGTGCACTCTATACTCCTTCACCCTCACCTTCACACCACCGATGGGATCATGGGACGGCCAGCCGACACAACCAAAGAAAGATCAGACGCATGACCTACGGTTTTACGTGTTTTTCGAGGCACGGTGTGAAATATAACATCAAATACAACATCTTGAATTCGGGCTGCTGGTGTGAATTTATTGCTAGAAAAACCCAAAAAATGATATTGGCCTGACCCGGAATTTGAACCTCATTATTAGCAGCCGTGTTTATGACCACTAGATCAACTAGACAGTCAAGTACACAAAAATATCTTGGTAATGGACACAATTAAAAGGTAAGAATTCTGATTTCTTAAAATTATAGGTGTTAAGATGCAGTCAGGAAGTTGGCGATGTTTCATCCCCGTTCCTCGGAGAGCATGTAAATCCGTTGATATTGCGACTGACCTTTCTCCGATGGTGTCGGGTAACCGTCCAATCAGACTAAAAAAAAAACTTATTAAATGTAATGTATTGTTAAAGCAATATAGAATCATTTTATACGCTTATCATTTAATTTCTTAAAATTATAATTAGCTTAAAGCTGTTTGAAATAAGGCGTCATTCTCACGCGATAGCGTTATAATAATATTAGTGTTCATTGCCGTGATAATACTTTATTGCCATCGGTTCTATATACGTCATAAATTTCTGGTTATTCAGACGTCCGGAAGTGGATTAAAACGGAATTATAAACCATTATGTTCTTACATACATACATGACGGTCAAATTTATAAAAGATTGTTAAAAATAGATTTCAGTATAAACATTATTATGGCTTGCGCTCACGGATGGCATGGCTTGGTAAGGCATACTTCGTCATGCCGAAGGATTCTGTGGCATCCTTCGACACTCCGAAGGATCCTGTGGCATCTGGCGGCATGCAAAACAAGTCAAGACGCGCTTGTCTGCCGGGCGCTCTCACGAGTCGCTGGGATTACCACCGCAATGGGCTAGATTCAACCTTTTTTCAATTACTTAGCACTCACATTCCTTTAACAACATTAAATACCTTTGCGTTTGGCATCCCATAGAATGCCGTGACGTGCAGCAGCAAGCCGCGGTGTTTCCGCGAGACGTTTCGGTCTATTCGTGTTGAAATAAAGAAATGTCAGTGCTAAGATCATTAAAATAACGTCGAAATTCTTTTTTTCGCGAAAAAATCCTTTGACACGCCGCGCCATTCCGTGCCGTCTGCGAGCACAGGCCCTTTTATTTAATTCTATATCTGCCACTAAGCTGCAACGCACTGAGCTGTGTTTAGGTTTATATATATATGTTATTTTGCTTCTAGCCTCTATATAATAGTAACTTATCATTAGGTTATTCCAAGTGAGTTTGTCAAGATGCCGTTAAGTCTCGTGCTGTCTATATCACTACAAACTGACCGTGCTACTTAGACTTACACACTTATACCCAAGAATTAACGACATCTTAAAATTGAACGTTTAAGTATTTGACCATGATACAAGGTTTCAAAAGAAAATATTAAATTACTAACAATTTCGTTATAAATATAATATTTTCATTTGAAATTTTATAGGTATTTATTTTTATAGACTAACCTTCAGTAGGGCGGTCGGGGCCACAGCCACGACGTCCGGGACCACGGCGTACTCGGCAAACGACTTCGCGACAGTCGCCACTTCTTCCCCAAGCACCTTAAAATTTACCATAGGGCTGTTTGCTAGCAAAAAAACAATTACACATCTCAAAATTCGCTTCATTGCGAACAACGACGCTTACAGACATAGACTGACAAGTAAATCAAACACGACCGGACAAACAACCGGTTGACCAACAAATGTAAGGTTCACAGAGCGCTATCGATTTAAATTGCTTCACACGATTGCGTGCACTTCAACCGGCATTTATTTATCTAAATAGTATATCAGAGGTATCACGCGTATCATGCTCTTAAAGATGTTGAGATAAGAATGATATTCGCTTGACTTCTATGGCTACTTAATCGTTCTAGACCCAAAGAGGTCCAGCCAAAAGCCACTTTAGGTAGGTCTTTTGAAACCAATCCGTACAAATCAACATACAAGACAAAAATATAATAACATGCATTTGACTTTTGAACGAACAATTTTGTTTTTGCAATATGGCTGCCGCTTGGTCACTCTCGTCTATTCTTTTATTTTTAATTAGCCCTCTTCCTTTTCGGGTATCGTAAGAGGTGACTGGGAAATGCCAGAAAAGTTACATAGCTTCCGATAAAGAGCGATATATATATAACTGTCCCATTTACGCCAAACGTAAAATACCTAACCGACGACAACAAGCAGCATTAAAGGTGTGATATGTCTGGTTCTGTAAACGCTATACCTCTTGTTAAGGCGAATATTCATTAATGGGAGAGTGTTGTGTTCACCGATCGACTTTGATGAACGATGATGATAACGAAAATTCAATATAGGTGAACCATAATAAAATTGACTGTGTGGCAGCGGCCTAGAATACTGTCACTCCTTTTCATCCCGTGGATGTCGTACGAGCCGACAGAGGGAAATGCCTCAAAAAAAAGAACTTAAGGCTTCCGTTTGATGGCGGCATAACCATCCCAGTCTTCGTCAGACCAAAAATGCTCAGACCTGTGATGGGCAGCAGCATCACAGGTGCGATGTGTCTGGCACTGCGATCGCCAACCCGCTTGTCCAGCGTGGCGATTAAGGGCAAATCCTCCTATGAGAAGCACCACAAAAACACGGCCCCCCGTTCCCGGTCGCCCCATTATTCACGGCCGTGGTGGCGGTTATGGCAACGGTGGAGCAGGGGGTGCGAAGAATCCCCGGGAGAGGACAGGTTACCATCAAAAACTGGACTTGGCGCCGTATAATGGACGGACTCTGCGGTAAGCAGCAACATTTACGAACTGGAAGCTGAGCTGGAAAATATAAGATGGCATATTGGGGTTAAGTGAAGTCCGAAGAGAGGGAGAGGACACACTGCTCTACTTTCGGGACGGAGACGGCCTATCCCAAGGCGGAGTAGGTTTTTTTAAGAATATTTTTAGGTTTTTTTAAGTTTGGTAGAGCCTCTGCATGGCTGACGGGGGAGCTTGATAAGCGTGAAATAGTAGCTTAATGCTGCTGTATTTCGTATGGTGAGGTAGAGAACCGGAGACTTGGGGCACATCTCAGTCTGTGCAACGCATCTGCATTTGATTAATGGAGGAGATGTAGTAAGTTCGTTTGTATATTTATAAAAAAAAAAAAAAATATTAACAATGCTGTAAACATTACTAATATTCCCCTTAACCACTCGTGGTTAGCTTAAATTGCTTGTTTACATAATGATGTCTTATATTTACGCGAACACTGTACATTGATTAAAACTACTTTTACGGATTTTATCGCGTTTTATTTATTTTATTTTTAATATCCGACGTTTCGGGTGTTTCACCCATGGTCTCGGGGGACTGAGGTGACTGACGTCCTGATGTCAAAGTTAATCCGGAGTACCTTCAGCTTTTTTAATTAGTTGATCGGTCCAAAGACAATAATTAGAAAAAGCTGAAGGTACTCCGGGTTAACTTTGACATCGGGATATCAGTCACCTCAGTCCCCCGTGACCATGGGTGCTGGAAAGCACCCGAAACGTCGGGTATTAAAAATAAAATAAATAAAACGCGATAAAATCCGTAAAAGTAGTTTTAATCAATAAATTGCTTGTATTATGAGTGGTTCACGCCAGTAGTCGAATGGCGGATTCGAACCCATGAGCTTTTTGAGTTCGCGGTCCGCGCCCTGCCATTAGGCTACTGTCGCTTGCCTTGTCGGTTTCCTCGTTCATAGGATCCTCACTAACAACATTGTAGAAATCTCAAGTCTGTCGACACGGGTAGCGTACCTTGTACTTAAATTATCAAAGAGATACTCTCTGAAGATCGTACAAGTTTATGCCCCGACCTCCGCACATTCGGATGACGAAGTAGAAATGATGACGAGTATGATGTATGACGAGGTAGAGCCATGCTGCAGTTATATTAGTAATATAGTTGTAGCAAGAATGGGTCGGCTCGACCGGGGAGGGACCACGCTTTCACAGAATACCAGCGTCAAATAGTAGCTTAATACTGCTGTGTTTCGTATGGTGAGTGTAAAGAACCGGAGACCCTTTTTTACTGGAAACGAGGCATTCCATCTGAGTCCTCACGGGTGACAACGCATCTGCATTTTGATTCGTAATCGAAGATAGATGTAGATGTCTATGTGCCACAGCAACCACTTACCATCACGTGGACTGTGTGCTCGTTTGTCACCCTATCCTATAAAAAAAAACTGTCTATGAAGATATTTCTAGGGCCTTACGTAGCACCACAAAGGCCCACTACAATGTTGTTATGGAGGATTTTAATGCCAAAGTGGGTAAATACACGGGCGTCGGCTCCCAACGCTTCCATCTAGAATTTAAAAATCGATTCGATGCCCTGAGACCCACTTTGGATATTGACGAGGACCTTAACAGCGTGATTAAGATCTTACGGGATGAGAGCAACAGGTTTTGTGGCAAGCAACATACGGGCCGAAAGTCGAAGTTCTCAGATGAGACACTTCAGCTTATGAAAAGAAGGCGTGAGTTAACAACAGCATCACCATCGGAACAGGTAACACTAACCAAGCTTGTGAGGAAAGCTGTGAGGCGAGACCTGCGTCGCTCTAATTCAATTGCTATACACGCGGCAATAGAGCGAAACAAGGGATCCAAAATCTTTGTTCGGGAGCTTGGAAGAGGTCACATCACAAAACTCCAGACGCATGATGGCAAAGTCCTCACGTCAAAGCCTGAGGTTCTCTCTGAGGTCGAACACTATTATGGCAAAAACTATATGCCTCACATAAGCCACAACCTGACCCTAAATGCGATGATACTAGAGCCACGCTGACCCGCCACTATACCGACGAGCTGCCAGACATCTGCCTTGGGGAGATTGAGCTGGCCCTCGGTCAACTTAAAAATGGAAAGGCCCCTGGAGAAGATGGAGTTACAACAGAGCTCTTAAAAGCTGGGAGTCAACCCTTGCTAAAAGAGCTGTGTCGAGTTTTTAACTGCATCTTACGAGATGGGAGAACTCCAAAGGCGTGGAGCAAAAGCATTACAGTCTTGTTTCACAAGAAAGGTGACAAGACTATGCCAAAAAATTATCGACCCATCTCGCTTCTGAGCCACGCCTATAAGTTGTTTTCTAGGGTCATCACGAATCGACTCGCGCAAAGACTCGACGACTTTCAGCCTGCGGAACAGGCTGGGTTTCGAGGAGGATTTGGCACTATAGACCACATTCTCACAGTGCGGCAAATAATACAGAAGACAACAGAGTATAATCAGCCCCTGTGTCTTGCATTTGTGGACTATGAGAAAGCCTTTGACTCCATTGAAACTTGGGCTGTTCTAGATTCTTTGCAGCGGTGCCAAATTGACTGGCGGTACATCGAAGTGCTGAGATGCCTTTACAACACCAGTACGATGTTCGTCCAAGTACAGGACAGTCAAACAAAACCAATCCAGTTGCATCGCGGTGTGATACAGGGGGATGTTATATCCCCTAAACTGTTTACAAATGCACTGGAAGATGTTTTTAAGACGTTGGACTGGAAGGGACGCGGTATTAACGTAAACGGTGAGTACATCTCACACTTACGCTTTGCTGATGATATCGTCGTCATGGCAGAATCGCTGCAGGAACTTCAAGATATGCTGAACAGACTAAATGAATCCTCCCAACGTGTTGGTCTGTGCATGAATCTGAACAAGATAAAAGTTATGTTCAACGATTACGTCATACCAGTTCCAATTACTATTGATGGTGAAATTCTCGAAGTTGTCGAGGAATATACCTACCTCGGGCAGATATTGCAACTAGGTAAGAATAACTTCGAGAAAGAAGCCGATCGGAGGATTCAGCTGGGCTGGGCAACATTTAGAAAGCTCCGTCGGGTTTTCACGTCGCCCATACCACAAAGTCTGAAGACAAAAGTCTTCAACCAGTGCGTTCTGCCCGTATTAACTTATGGTGCCGAAACGTGGACACTGACGATACGTCTGCTCCAAAAGCTGTAAATCGCTCAGCGAGTAATGGAAAGAACTATGCTCGGAGTTACTCTGGTAGACAAAATTCGAAATGAAGAAATCCGCCGGAGAACCAAGGTTACTGACATAGCTTTCCGTGTTTGTAAGCTTAAGTGGCAATGGGCTGGTCATGTCTGTCGCAGAGGTGACAAGCGGTGGAGTAGACGTGTTATGGAGTGGAGACCGCGCCTAGGCAAACGTAGTGTGTGACGCCCCCTGACCAGATGGAGCGACGATCTGCGCAAGGTGGCTGGTAGAAACTGGATGCGTGTAGCCGAAGATCGGGCTAAGTGGCGCGCCTTGGGAGAGGCCTATGTCCAGCAGTGGACTGCCGCAGGCTGATGATGATGATGATGATAAGAAAATTAGTCTTTCTACCTTTTCCAGTGGACTTTGTAGAATGGGACGAATTGACTCGACCCAAATTAGTTGACATGGGCTATTGACGTCACGTGATGTAGTATCGACTGCAGTGCTGAAACCCACCAATTTTAAAAAAAGCTCTGTGTGTGATTTTATCCGTATATGCAATTTTAGACATACTTCCTTCCTCCTTTCTTTCGTAGCTCCGTCAGGATTCGGTTACGAATCACTATGGCCC